ATTGATCATAAATATCGGGTCGAAGAGGCTAGCCAAGGACGAATGGTGGTAGCCAAGCTCCTAAACTACCGTATGGTAGATACAAGGAGTGTTGTGGAACAAGTAGATGAATTACAAATCATCTTCCACAACTTGGCGGGAGAAGACATCATGGTAAATGAACGGTTCCAGGTGGCAACTCTGATTGAAAAATTGCCTCCCTCCTGGACGAGTTTCAAGAATGACCTGAGACAAAAACCTAAGGACATGTCTTTGAAGGATTTACATCGTCGTGTGAGAATTCGGCAGGAATCTCAACCTATTCTTAAAATGAATGGGCAGTTTGGATCCAAGGCAAATGTCGTTGAGACGACTAAGGCCAAAGGGATTAAGAAGCGGAAGATTGATAAGAATGTCAACTCCAAGAAATTCAAGGGGAATTGCTACGTCTGTGGCAAGACTGGACATCTAGCGAAGGACTGCTACCATCGCAAGGAAGGTGCCCAGAAGAAAATTGGGAATAAAACCCAAGCTCATGTAGCTGAAGTAGAAGATGGGGAGTCTGAATTCGTAGCAGTTGTGTCAGAAGTGAACATGGTCGGAGATAATCCGAGAGAATGGTGGATTGACACTGGAGCAACCCGCCACATTTGTGCTAACAAATGGATGTTCACCACCTATGACACTGTCACCGGAGAAAGCTGCTATATGGGAAACTCTGCTGCATCCAAAGTGGAAGGCAAGGGTTCAGTCATTTTGAAGATGACATCTGGAAAGAAGCTGACGCTCACTGAGGTTCTTCATGTGCCAGACATTCGCAAGAACCTGCTCTCTGGATCTGTGATGTCAAAGAAAGGCTTTAAGCTAGTGTTTGAATCTGAGAGAGTTGTAGTGTCAAAAGATGGTGTGTATCTGGGTAGAGGTTATCTAGCAAATGGTATGTTCAAGATGAATGTAATGACCATTTGTAACACCAATGCGGCAAATAATATAACCGCAAATGATATTAATAAAGCTTCTACTTCTTCTGCTTACTTGATTGAGTCAAGATTATGGCATGGTAGATTAGGACATGTGAATCTTAAGTCTATGCAAAGATTAATGTCTTGTAATCTACTGCCAAAATTTAAATTAGACAAAGACCACAAGTGTGAAGTCTGCGTTGAAGCGAAATTTGCTAAGTCTTCGTTTAAAAATATTGAGCGAAGTACTGAACCTTTGGAATTAATATATACAGATGTATGCGATTTGAAATATGTGCAAACCAGAGGCGGAAAGAAGTACTTCATTACATTTATTGATGATTGTACTCGATATTGTTATCTCTACTTAATGAGAAGTAAAGATGAGGCAATAGAGATGTTTAATCTCTATAAAAACGAAGTTGAAAATCAACTTGGAAAGAAAATCAAAGCTTTGAGAAGCGATAGAGGAGGTGAATATGAGTCACCTTTTGCGCAATTGTGCGCAGATCATGGCATCATCCATCAAACTACAGCCCCATATACGCCAGAACAGAATGGCATTGCTGAACGCAAGAATAGAACGCTGAAAGAGATGATGAATGCTATGTTAATAAGTTCTAGATCTCCTCAGAACTTGTGGGGGAAGCAGTGATTTCTGCTAACTTTGTATTAAACAGAGTGCCCCATAAAATGCTCGACAAAACGCCCTATGAGTTGTGGAAAGGCAAATCACCTAGCTACAAATACTTGAGAGTATGGGGTTGTCTGGCTAAGGTTCCTATCCCTATTCCTAAACGAACTAGGTTAGGACCAAAGACAATAGATTGTGTGTTTGTTGGTTATGCACACAATTCGAGTGCTTACCGATTCTTGGTGTATAAATCAGATAATTCTGAAATACATGCGAATACAGTCGTTGAATCAAGAGACGCTTCATTTTTTGAAGATGTATTTCCCTATAAGACTCGGATAGAATTAGATCCAAGTGGTATGGAATCTCAAAGAATTCATGAATCTTCTAAGCAATTAGAGGAAGAAGATGAAGAGCCTAGAAGAAGTAAAGGGGCAAAGAAACCGACTTCTTTTGGTTCTGATTATCTAACGTTTATGTTCGATAAAGAACCACAGACATATCAAGAGGCTATGTCATCACCCGAAGCTCCTTATTGGAAGGAAGCAGTGAAGAGTGAGATTGAATCAATCCGACAAAATCACACTTGGGAACTTGTGGATCTTCCACAAGGATGCAAACCATTGGGTTATAAATGGGTCTTCAAAAGAAAGATGAAACCGGATGGTTCTATTGAAAAATACAAGGCGAGACTTGTAGTCAAAGGCTATAGGCAAACTGAGGGTGTCGATTACTTCGATGTTTACTCTCCAGTCGCTCGGAAAACATCCATAAGGTTTATTATAGCCTTGGCAGCCTTACATAATCTAGAATTACATCAGATGGATGTAAAGACTGCATTTCTAAATGGTGAACTGGAAGAAGAAGTATACATGCTTCAACCTGAAGGGTGCAGAGTGCACGGACAAGAGGGAAAAGTGTGTAAACTTGTGAAATCATTGTATTTTTGTATACACCAAGACAATAGTACTCACGCAGCACCCTCTCTCTCTCTCGTTAGTCCATTTGTTGCGCCCATTATGGCCATGGGACAGCACCTGGTAAATTTCATCAAGTACTCTAGAGAATTAGCCCTTTTGTCATTCTCATAG